CGTTCCATTATCTTATTTTTTTAATATTTACTTTTTTGTTCATCATTATACTGTGCTAATTAATCGCTAATTGGTCAAATGGTAAAATTTTAAAATTCTTTGGAATTAATTGATTATCTTTTTGTCGGTATTTCTACTCCTCTACACCCCTCTCTCTCTCTCTTTCAATATGTATATATATATAGATACCTTTCTGCGGCTAGAAGCAAATCTAATTCAATAACAAATGACAGTGCAATTGTCACGATAAAGAGTAGAAAAACAATCGATAAACTGTCGGAGCGATAAGATTGTCCGAAATGAGACATCCCAGAGATCTCGGAGACGATGGTGGTATCTTATTTGACCCGTAACCTGCGTCAATCGTGGCCCCACAGCGGTAGACAGGTCTCGGGTTATCTCGGCGATATTTTTTCTTATATTTTTTTCGCCATGAAATATCGTTTGATGAAAGAAGAAGAAAAAAAAAAAAGTAAAACGTGGCCTTAAGTGAAACATAGAAGGCAGATGTAAACAAAGCAGTCTTCTGCATTTATTTCATGCTGCGGTCGCAGTGTATGCGTGTGTGATTCGAAAAGCCCTGAACTGTTTTAATCCAAGAACCCACAAATAATTATTCCTATGACCCAAATGAAAGAAACATTAACTGAAATATGTATTACACTATGCTTGAGCTATAGACAAAAACATTTGATTTTTTTTATTTTTAAAATGTGCCTAAATATTTTTAAATTAAAAACCTTCAATCATAGGTCCCAAATCCTTAGGATCGTATTGAGTAAAATTAGAGATCTGCCTTTTTTTTCGTTTATTTTATTATTGAAATACTATCGTTACTAACAATAATAAGTAATAAATTGTGCTAAATAATAATAAATTAGAGCCCTTTAAAAGTAAACCATTTATTCGAGGCTCTAGATGACGTCATTCTGAAATTTTAGATTTCGACATCCATCAATGTTAGCAGCACTAATTAATCCTTATAGCATTGTTTGGAAATTAACTTTGTAATATGCTTTTATATACTACTAAACAAATACATAAAAAAATTATGCCTGTTGGTTTTGACAATATGAAGAAAACCAATAGCATGTGGCACTGGCGAATCCACAGAGGATTGTCTTTCTGGCTGAAGACATTATTCAGCCCAACATTTTTTTATTGTATTTATTTATTTTTTCAATTTAATTTAATAATTTTTGTATTATTAAATTTTAGCTATAGTTAATTTGTTTCCTTTGTATTCCTGGTATTCAGCTGTTCATTATAACCTTCCTTACGCGTGTAATAGTAAAATTTCTCTTACGTTCAGTATGTGTTTGGATGGCTTCGTGAGATATCAATTGCAATTTTTTTTTTTAAAGGAAGGAGATGGTCCGGGGTGGCGGTCATAAATAGTCTGTAATTTTATTCTTCTAATTTTATTTACTTATTTATTTTTTGGATATCTTTTTTCTTTTCTTTCTCCACATTCCTTTATGTCTATTATTTCATATTATATCTTTTTTCCACGTGTTTTTATGTTTCTGTCCTGATGATGCTTCAATTGGCTAAACGTTGGTAAGTTAATTATTTAACTGTATGTTGGAGACTCGTGGTTTATAGTTCGGAGGTTTCCATGAATACTGTTATCATTAATTTTCAAAAACTTGTATTTTATCTTCTTAAAAAAAAGAACAAAACAAAATAAAACTCATTTTTTTGTTACAGTATTAAATATATGGCTATTTGGGGCCCACAACGCCATCGCATTCCTCATGCATCCAATCCTTACAATCCAAAATCCTTCGTAAAATCCTCAATGCTTACTTTGTCACTAATAAAATCATCCATAAAGACCTCAATGTTCCTTATATTTCCGAATTGGCCCAATCCAGATACCTACCCTTCCATAATAAACTTCAGAACCATCCGAAACCTTTTGTTTCTAACCTTGGTTCCTATTCGATTCCTGATAACCCTCCGAGGTGTCTGAAAAGAAGAAGGCCTCGAGATCTTCTATTGTAAATGCATTATTTTTTTTAGATTGCTACCAGTGGGTAGTTTCTCAATAAGTGTTTTCATGTTTTTATTTTCTGTTATCACATTTACTTAATGTATTCTTTCTTAATACAATTGTAAATATCATAAATAAAAAAAAAAATCTATGGCTAATAAGATGCTTTGTTAAATCTTAATAAGGATCTCAGTTATTTACTAAACCATGAGACATATTCTAGGCTTCGGTCCTAGGCCAGGGAAGACCTCGGTCCTCCGGCGCCACTAAACAAGCCTAAATAAACAAATCAGCCGGAGTATGATGTAGATGACGACGGGGTATCGAGCGGACCAGATGATGGCCCGGATGATGAAGAGCGGCTGCTACAAATGTATTCTTTGTGTAAGGAATGACTTGCCACACCGGCGTGGCTAATCCCTCTTTAGCAGGGCAAACACCCCCTCCCCCCTTGTAGAACCTCTCTCTCTCTCCCCCCCCCCCCTGTTTGAATTATGAATCACCTGGAATTAGTGAGTCCCACCCTTCCCTACTTTAATTGGCCCGTCTTTTTGTTCGTCTTCTCGTTTTCAACACAGAGTTCGGAGATTAGATTAAACTCATCATGGCCCTAAATCAAGAAGGGATTCGCGGTCGTTTTTACCCCGATATCTGCGCACTTATCATACATTTCTCCGAGCGAAAATCCGTTTAGGAAGAGCCACGGTGTGAGTTAGTTCGTAATTAAGCCGTGCATTCCTGATTAGAAGGGGGGAGAAGAGGAGGGTGGAAGGATAGGGGGGGGGGGGAAAGGGGCGAAGCGAAACCGGGTAATGCTTAACTGTGCAAACTAATAACAAGGGACACTAATCAGCTCAGGTTTGGGCCCAGAACATCTTTGCTTTACAACCATTATTAATATTATGACCTTTGTGATATCATCGCTTTGTGAAATTGGGCTCACTCAGCCTGTTAACCTCCACTATATAGGTTGGAAATCTGCGGCCTCAACGCTGCAAGTGGTCTCCAAACTTTTTAGCTCGGTCTTCATTTTTATTTCATGTATTTATTTATTGAAAACATTAATTTATGAATTTATTTATTGAAAAGATTTTATTGTATTAAATTGTATATACACTTTTATATTTGTTATTTTTTTATATTGGATAGTTTTAAACATCTTAATTAGTGTTGCCCAAAATAGGTCTTGGTCTTGCAAAGACCAAGGCCGCCTAACTGTTGCAAGACCAAGACCGGGACTGGTAAAAAAAATCGATTTTTTAAATAAAACTAAAGGCAAAATAGTTACTAATACTTGACAATCTTACTATATGTCCATAATTGGTTGAACCAATATACTTTTGCATTTAACTCGTCTAATTTTTCATTCGGGCTTAGGTTTCTCCTATCTTAAAAAATACAGTAATATCTCTATAGCAATGAGCTAATAAGTAACTGCAAGACTGTTGCGAGAGTCTTGCGTGAGACCAAGACCATGACCAAAAGTGAGTTTGCAAGACCAAGACTCGTCTCGGTCTCGAATTTGGGCAACACTAATCTTAATGCATGTAGCATTTTAGAGAGATTAAGAGAGAGAAGTGTGAGAAAGGGAAATTAAATGAGAAAAAAAAAGTACTTGAACAAGGGGAAAAAAAAGATATATATGTTTATTATGCTCATTCTTATCAACCACTTCTATATATTCATGTATAAGCTTTATTGATTGTACTAAAGATTTATCAGTATGTTGTGTGTCCAGACCAACCCAATATAATTATGCAGCAAGCTTTTATATTTTATATGAAAATAAAGTGTTTCTCTATTATTTAGGTTACGAAAATTAGATAATTAATAGAATTCAGTTGAGTATATGAATATAGCAGTGTTTTACTTTACTATAATTACAATATAAGTCATTTTTTTCGATAAATCAGGAGGTTTCAAAACAGATGGTTTCAAACGTTGACGGGTCTAGACGCGATGAATTGTCTTATATTATATGTTTTTACGCGGGTATCATGGTCCGGTATAGTTCTATAAAACTATACTGAGCATGGATCTTCAACGAGGATTCAGGATTCGATTTTAGAGGCTTCATCCCGAGTTTATATATATATATATATATATATATATATATATATATATATATATATATATATATATATATATATATTTGTGTGTAAAACAATAATTACTTGGGGAAAAAAAAGCTGACCGCCTTTAAGAACTATCGTAAATTCAATTCTGATGATATTTTTAGGGATTGTGTGGAATCGTCATGGATCAAATTCCATCCTCTTTTATCGCTAACACAACATGCGCAAACGTATTTTCCTTAACAATTCTTTATTGTAAAAATTATTTTTATGAATTTATTAACCGTGGAAAATGGTTAATTATGTATCTAATTGAAATGGTGGTTTCTATCCCTACCTCACAATGTTTTTACAACTTGATTGACATTAACAAAAAAAGGGTGTCCCTCACTGAATTCAGTATGAGCGTCAAAGATGACAAAAAATGTAATAATAATGTTAAGTTATCAACTCTTAACTTACTAAGGTAGATTGCGTCAAAATATAGGGTGAAGAAATCTCTCCATAACATTGTGTTACTCTACTACGCGTTTAAGTCGAATTTCACCAGATTAAAAGGGTGCTCAAAAAATTACGGCACCATCATCTACAATTTCATACCGAATCATAATTGCAATGAAACGATTCCGTGGGTTAGCCAAATTGGGCAGAAGGTCTCCGAAGGGAAAAGAAAATTGAAGACATTTTAGGGGACTTTAAGAATAGAAAACCGCAGATTGGCCGTCATTATGTCTTTATGGTTTAATAGCCTTTAGAGAAAAATGTTTTTTTTTTTTTTTTGGTTAGGTAAAAAATATATTTGAAAATGGGGACCGTGATTGTCATAATAAGACGGTATTATTGATACGAGTTAAATTGACCAATTGAGGGTCGGGATGGAATGTCTCTGGAGCTTAATGCCACTTTAACGTTTTCTTTCTTTTTTTTTTTTACTTACCCCATTCTTCGGGATGGTTATTGTCATCTGGTAAATGGCTAATCGGTGGTCCTAAACGGGACGTTTGAGCCAATGATCCTCCAGGACCTACCTGGACTGATGGTAATGATAGGTCCAGGACTCCCCTAAGTGAAGAACACACCCCGTCCTCTGGAGGTAATGGGCCCAGCTTTAATATGTAAATAATAGCCGCCCTCAGGAAATACAGCAGTAATGGAACGCTTTTCGGTTTTATTAGTCCCCGCTAAGTCGTGACCCGCCGGGATTGTCTTATGCTCCAGCTATGTTAAATGTTCCATTCGTTATTATTTTAAATATTCAGATTGTTTTCCAGAGGGCTAAATATCGGTTTCACATCCAGTTTGAAAGATGGTTTGAAAGACAGCGCACGTCCGGTAAAAACTGGCCCGTCAGTCACAAGTCAATTGCAGGCCGAACACAAATACTCAGAAGGATCGATTGAATAAAACATTAAAATAAATCGATTGACAGTTGAGGGATTATTTTTTCGGAAAATAAAAAGAGCAGCAAACTCTCACACGTTTCTTAAAAATAAACACCTGCATGTGATATCCGTATCCTTGAGTAAACACTCTTAATATATTTGAGAAGATTGAGAGATATAGTGGGTGACAATGTGATATTTTAACTACATATATCTCTGATATCATCTTTTTATTTCTGTATCAGACAACTTATTCTTATTTTATATCTACCTATATTCATTTATATTATTTTCACCATGTTTTGTATCTTTTGTAGCCCTGACGAAGACCTGCAAAGTGGGTCGAAACGTCGGCAAAAGTTAAATAATTCTACTTATATAATTTAGTATTAATTTGACCTCACCCCCCTGATCAACTCCTTCTCATATTATATCAACGGTCAACCATCTCTACATCTTCATAAATATATTTGTATTTTTAAAAGTAATAACCGGACTTCCATGGTCGTTATATACAATACTTTATATAGATAGATGCAATATTTTATACTGTCAATAAACGAATAAATTTTAGTTAGAACGCTGTCATTCCTAATTATCTAGTAAATCACATATCGTACATTTTGTTTTAATGTGAATACTCCTTTAGGTGCGTTTTGCACTTTTTTTTCGTAGAGAGTGAATCAGGTCCCAATTTGTAACGCCACCAGATCTCCAATGTGGAACGCTCGGGTAAAGTCGGTTGGAATATCGAACAAATTGAAATATTTTTGCATATAGATTAAAATATCTCAAAAACTAAAAATCGGACCTGCATATTGTTAGCGCGAAAAATATTCGTCGTTTCATCCTCTTTGTAATGAGTTATTATTAAAAATTGTATCTTTAAGGGATGCCTTGTTACAGAGTCGAAAAGGGAAAAAATTGTGTCGAAAACCAAATGATAACTTTTTATTGAAGATATGGATTAAAATGCCTCAGAAACTAAATATCGGACCTGCATACTGTAAGTGAGAGAAATGTTCAGCATTTCATCTACATTATATTGAGCTATTAGTTGTAATTTATATTTTATATTATTAATCTCGTCTTGTTGATGTTTTCACCTCTATCGTGTGATCTATAGCACACAGCTTATTAATTTTTTTTTAACTAAAATATTTTTTTATAATCTGAACCTAAATATAGATATGTCTGTTTGATATTGTTCCAGAAATATTATTTCAAAACATCTTTTTGTTTTTTTCATTTCATACATATCTTTACATGTTATCTGCCAATGAAGTTATATATTATATAGAACACTATCTACTGAACTACTTAATTAAAAAAAAAAAATCATTCATTATACTCGTCATTAATACCAGTGACGCGACTGAAATTATTGTGAAACGTGCTGGACTCGGAATTTCTCTGAATTAATCTTTGTAATATTTTATATAAATACGTCTGTGTTTGCCTTTTTTACGTTTGTTTTTGCCTTTCACATAGTCTCTTGCCTGCTTTTAAGGCATTCTTTGTGTAGAAGTTTCTATTGAATTGCTTCAAAGTACATGTCTTACCCATCTGAACCTCCAGCAACACAACACGTGACGAGCCAAAAACCAGATGAATATATGAGATAAACATGGATGCAACATAGTAGTAAAGCGAACAGGGAAAAATACTTCTGATTTTTCCAAATTTCATTGAATTTACTTAATTTTTGTTGTTAAGTGCTATATGCTGCATATGTTTCATAAGGTAATCGTGACCTGTTATTATACGAAACTCTGCAATACCTTCCTTTCTAAAGATTTTTCAGATCTACCGATAATATAAAACATAGGGAAAAATATCATTATAAATATATTTTTTAAATAATTACCTGAAGGATATAGCCCCTGGCGTAGTCCTCCTGCGTCCATCCGAAGCCTCTGAGGACTTGAACGACCTCCTCCCGCTGAAGTACGGAGAAGAGGCGGTCGAGGAGGATCTTAAGGCGGATCGGGAGGGCCTGGCAGCCGTAGAGGACCAAACTTGCGATGTCGAAGGCCACGTTGACCTGAACCGGCTCCACGCTGGTCTGACCCAGGACATGTCGGAACCCCAGCTTGTCCAATGCTAAAACATAATAAATACATTTACATTAACATAACAAGTCATTAAAACATTAGTATTATAATACATAGGGATCATATCATGCCCGGAGATAGGAATTAATTTAAGGGTATGAGAAGTGATTTTTATTTCGTTATAAATTGATTGATAAATTAAAACATTGAAATACTAACAATTCGGTTTCATTATCAATGCGTCTTTCAGAAATTGTAGGGTTTGCTTCCAAAGGGGAAAGATCTCATTTTAAAATTTTCGGAAGGGCGAAAAATAAAAAATTCCTATTCGTGTGAAACAAATTATTTTAAATAAATTCAAGCACCGTCATTTCGCTTAGATTCACCTATGTCCTATTTTATTATTTTTATCTATTTACATTTTCTCCTCCTCCTCTCCCTTTGGTTACTTAATTCTGATATTTATTCTGTTAACTTTACAATATGAACCGTTATTCTTATTTAATTATAAATATCAGCTCTTTTGTGGATTGCTTTAAAAATCTAAAAATAAGTAAAATAAATTTATTTTAACCCTGTTAACTTTATGTTAACAATCAGGAAATGTGCTAAGAATAAAAGGAATAATGACATATGAGTGATGACCAAAGACAATACTCAACAGCACATCTTCTCTGGCTTTTAATTACTTAGTTTGTTTAAGGAAGGAGATCTCACATCGAACTCCTTTTTAGTCTCCTCCTCATATTCAAAGGCATGTCAGCTATGGTCATTCTGTTATAAACCCGTTATTATGTCCGTTTAAATTTGGTTGGTGAAGGGTCGTTATCTGTTGGCCAACTGTTGGAAGGTGGAGGCCAGAATATAGAATTTTGTTATGAATTGCAATAATTGTGTAATAATAATAATAACTATCGGCCAGCACATACCTACTCTCTACTCCCGATTTCAACTTATTGACGACATAGCCACAGCTGACATGCCCATGAGGAGACGATTAAAGAGAAGCTGGATGAGAGTTCTCTTTTGATAAATTATGAAGTAGACCAAGACCATAAAGGCTGCTGGGTACTAATGTTCCTCATGCCTTAAATGACAATTTTCTTCACAATGAGATCACATCTGCTTATTGTCAATACTATGTCAGGTGTGGATAGAAGTATAAAGAGAGAAAAAAAATGAATGTAATGTGTATTACATTATATTTTCAATATATTTATTTATTATTATTATTTAGTTTATTTTATTACAGTGCATTAAATATTCATAATAATGTACAAAATCTATAAAGCTATGGAATTCTTAAAATTAGATCGCAAAGTTCTGAAGATCAGAACCAGATTTTTCCTTTTTCTAAAATAAATTGATTTAACCTAAATAAATAATATATGATTGCCTCTATCCCTCGGTAACATTAAAGACTTCACCGCTCCAGCGATGGATCGCTAACTGTACTCCAAGACTGCTGGAGAACCCGGTGTCACTGGAGGCTAGGCATTACCATAGCTATTACCCTCAGGACACGTCGCTCCCAATCCCATTACCATCTGCCCACGGCTCCTTATACCTCTCGGCTACCTATAATAGCCTCTCTCTCTCTCTCTCTCTCTCTCTCTCTCTCTCTCTCTCTCGAGCTCCGTTCTCGAAAATGCTCAATAATAATTCTTTATCCGGAGGGACTCGAGAGCGGAATATAATTCCAGATGTGGAATGAGCTCGCGGTGGGCAGATCCTGACAGATGCTGGGACTGCCGAGGTATGATTCACGAAAGGGGAGGGGATCCAATGCGATATTTCATTCCACCTTCCAAGAAAGCACTTGCTCAGTGTCTACATTAAAATAACTCTAGAGAGAAATATTTATAAAACTATTCGTAAACATACTTAAATCCCTGGCATAAAATCAGCAATAATTAAATATTTAAATGGTCACTATGCTTGAAAATAAATTAGCTTAATAAATTTACGTGAATAAATATATATGTAGCTAGTCGGTCTATGCGAATAATTCATATAGCATATTGGTTCGTGGACAATTGATAAAATCATAAGGAAATAAGTAAATGCGACGTAATAGAAATAGAAATAGAAATAGAAAAATAACTTTATTCTGGGACACAGTCCCTTGAGAATAACAAATTAGAACAAAATTAAAATATTACATCTGGCCAAAACAAAATAAATTGAAAAAAAGAAATAATGTAAAAAAAATATAAGGTAAAAACTCTATATACAAAACAAACTAAACTATATACAAAACCATTAATACTATGACAAGAAACTTAAAGCTATTTAGACCAGTATACACTTTTCTGAAAAAAATAAAGAATTAAAAAATAAAAATATATCAAATTCTCTATTAAAATCCGCTCGAATGGTTAGCAAGTATCTGACTGTTTTTGTGATAGGAATTGGAATAGGAGGGATTTGAATGTGGATATGGAGGGGGAATGTCGAATTTTGATAGGGAGGGAATTCCAGAAATTGACAGAGCGAACAATAAAGGAATTTTGGAATGAGGCAGATCTGTGAGAAGGCATGTAAAGGTCAGAAGGTCGAGATCTTGTGGACAGGGAATGGACTGCGGATTTGAACTGGAGAAGGTTGTAGGCGTAAGAAGGACGATGGTTGTTGATGATTTGGTAGAGGAATGTACCTAGAAAGTATTGTCTTCGGAAGGAGGGGAAGAGCCACCTTAACTCAGTGTAGTGGTGAGAGACATGGGAGTACCTCGGGGCACCAATAACAAATCTTACGCAGCTATTACCTATATATATGACGTATTACCTATATAAGATCTCTTTTTCACTGTAATTGGAATAAACAAAGGAAGGAGGGGGAATTAAACTTCATTCATAATATTCCAGTAAAAGAAACAGTCGGATGCATCAAATCAACAGAAATGCGATAAAGCTGGGTACAAATAACTGGAAAGAAATAGTACTACATAGTTGAGATTAGCGTTGCACATAATCGGTCTTGGTCTTGCACTTTGCAATAATAAATTTATTTAACCTAAGTAAATAATACTTGTGAATATGCCATATTCTTTGTTGTTCCATTCTATGTATAGATATAGCAATTGTATGTTTTTCGAACCCTAGAATTTGCAACATGTAATTGTCAACATATAAGAAGCAATCGGTCTCTAAATCTCCCACGAAAAAGTACTAAATGTTTAAAGCATTATATCTCTGTACCAAATCGTCCGATATTAGTGATTTTTTTTTTATTTGCAGGGAATCAAGAAATATTTCAAATAATGCAGGGTAAAAATTGTTTACTTTTTGAGTTATTCGCAAATATAGTTTTGAACCCATTGTAACTTTTTTTTTTTTTCATACTTTTCGGGGAATGATGTTATATACATAAGATAAAAAGGGCTTCAAGGAGAAGACTTTAGCCAAGTTCAATTAAAATCGTTACAGCCGTTTAGGCGCTACAGTTTATACCGACACAAGTTTTTGGATCGCCTTTTCGAAACGAAAGACCGGTAGGTGATTAAATGTATATAAAAACACTCCGGTGCTAATTAAAAGTTTCGAAGATAAGCGGTTTTGAACAAACGAAAATTTACGTTTTTATTAATATACATACATGATGAGGCCATGTGTTGGACATCCATAAGCAAGAGACTACTTCATTTCAGACTAATTGGTTGGGTACATTGTTGGAAGACCCTACTATTTGCCTGATTGTCTCATTTGATCCTCTGACCCCTACCTCATGAAAACGTTAAAGCAAGTGGTCCTTGCGACAGAAGACATAACGCCAGTCGAAAATTAGCTAATAATTGATTCATAAGCCCAAAACGGACCGCCTCCTCGGACATGTGACAAGGGTAAGTGACAAGGAGATGGTAATAATTCAGTCTGACCCCGGGGCGATATCGACCCAAGTCCCGGACTATCTTGGACCTAATTCGCATTATAGTCACGTGTCGGGGTAGGACAGAGCTCCCGTGGGGAGCGCCCTCATGGAAATGACCTGACATTTTGAAAAATCCGCCTCCCCCCCCCCACTACGTCCCTGCCCTTGTTAAAAACTCATCCCGAATATTGACATGGAAAAAAAACAGCGACGGTAGAACGGCCGAGCGAGCGTCAATGGGATGGGATTTTTACGTCCAGCGTTGGCAATTAGAGGAGTCCAATATTGCTAAAATCTTTTTTGACATGCTCCTACGCGATGCCAAAGGGAGGGTGAACCCACTTCACATTTTTTTTATTTTTTTTTTTATACATTTGATCGGTTCACCTGTCACACATACTGCATTTTTTTTAAACGATAGAAGCGAGCGATGCATACAAGCACGTTCGTTTCTACGAAATTTACTAATTTGATGATAAGTACGTGAAGAGTATGAATATAACTATCAGTACGAAAAATGTATACGTAAGTCATACTGAGCGCATGAGACCCAATTTCCATGGTATTGAATTAATTTGTAAAAGACGCTACAAAAAGTAGTAGAAGCAAATCCGACGAGAATTTCCAACAAGAAATGCTTTTGCGATTGTCAGTATAAGAAGCAATACAAGGAGGAAGTTTTTGAGCTTAAATTCCTCTCAAAACAGAAAAATATTTCTTTTCGTTTGTTCATATTTGTTTCTGTGACTGATTAGGAGTCACTATATCTTCAATACAAATGCCAACTATCGAATATTAAAACTATCGAATATCAAAAATTGCGATTTCCAATCCTGGACTCTAGTGGTTGTAATTGTAATTAAATATTTAACAGCGAATGAAATATTCAAACATTCTCGTTGTTTTGGCTGAATTGATAATGATTTGAAGGTATTTTTTTCGTTTCTTGAAAGGTGATTTTCAGATTCGGTAGTTAGCATTCGTATTAACGATATGTTTCCTTTTAAAATCATGTGTACTGCATTTATTTAATGTAAAAGAGTTTTAAGAAAGAAATTATTCCTTAAAGAAGAAAGTATAATGTCCCTGTAATTTTTTTGAATAGCTCTTTGAGGATTATTTAAACATCATTTCATAAAGAGCAAGTTCCTAAATCCAGCGCTGAGCTCCACCGGTGGCATCAGGAATCCATCAAACCGTTTCTAAAGTTATGGTTCCATAAATGGAATTCAGCAAGTTCCTTTATTCTTTGATTGAATCAACGATAGCTCAGCTCTTCGAGGTCGGTGTATAAATTAAATAACATATAACCTCAGTATAAATTCAGTGTTATTTGTCAATTTACTCTACATATTTATCTGAATAATTCACAAGACAAATATTTCCTTCATATATTTTCGTGTTTTTTGTATTCTTCCAGGTATGTTATCTTTCGCTAGAATTCAGCAGGATAAATCGGTGTTAGTTTAAATCGATTATTGGATTCCCTTGATGGAATAAGCGCTGAGTTTAGAGCCTTGCCCGTAGATTATTTGTCTTATTCTAGAGTAACTGCCATTATAAAAGTAAAACAATTTATCCTCCCAAGAAATATAAATCTTGAATCTGTTAGTGTATAGAGTTTTTTTTATTTATTTATTTTTTTTTTGGATCTGGAGTAAAAATCAAAAATATATTTAAGTACAATAGTGCAAATTTTATTCAGGATTCGAGTTATTTCTCTCTCAGGATATACATTTTTCGTCTCAACCAGACTCAAATCTGTACCCAAGAGTTGACATTCCTTTGTTTAGAAACCATTACAAAGGATAGGGTTACTTTTTTGTATCTCTCACCTTTTATAATTCAAAGCATATTCAAAACCTCATTCAGGACTAGGAAGTGTACAGGTTACCGGAAAGATTCCGCCCATCCTTTTGAATGATTTAGCACTACACCAAAATATGAATGTACACGGATTTTTCATTCTGAAGGGGATAAAAAAAACAACACATTACACGCAGTCTTCATCAGATAAGAACGTCCTCAGCAGGAAATCGCTTGCATATTTAAAAAAAAAATTAACAATTAACTGATTTTAATTATATATGAACGAGTTAAATTAACCCAGGACTTCTTAAGGGGCAGCGATGAATGATAAAGTATGCTTACGGTAATTAGGAAGGCAGTGAAACGGTGAGACAGCGTGAGGTCACCGCTACGGAAAACCAGGACCCTGCATACATTAGGCACCGGGGATTTCTCAAATTAGGAGGCTAATCTATGGATCTGTCGGCGCAATTAGCTCGCAGTACATCCCATTTCATGCAAATGAGGGAGGGTAGGGAGGGAGGGGAGAGGGAGATGTCATTGAGGATAACTTTGTTAGGAAGAGACAATGAGAGCGGCTGGCACGAAACCCTGGAGGAAGTGGATCGTAGTGGGTACAGCCTTCGGAGGATATCCACGGCTGATTGTCGGCCTTGTCTGTAAGGTGGGAACTTTGGGGGAGTATTTATAATAATGTAAGTGAAGGATCATGAGGTCACATCGCATATTCACTTCACATGGACTCCTGTCTTTGATCTTCAAAACCAGACAAAACTCCGATTAAAGTTTCTCAAAACCCAGTTTTAACCGTCTACACTTTACAGGTTGATTCAGTTCTCAATAGCTAAACCGTGTGAGGTGTTCCTAG